TCTCTCTCTCCCTCCCTCCCCCCTTCTCCCTCTCTCTCCTTCCCCCCCCCCACTCTCCCTCCTCCTCTGCACCTGTTACTTGCTGCTGGTACTCCTGTACACACTTCTGCAGAACAAGGGCACAGCTCTAAATAATTATGTCAGCGGAATGACAAGTGCAGGAACAGAGATGAATAATTACAAAGCCGAGACATAATTAAGCAACTTTGACTGTCGTATTCTTGAGCTGTCATTCTGATGTGAAGCGCTGTCAGACACAGCAACGTATTTCACATCGGACAGGCCTCTCCCGCTTTGATCAAGCCTTATGCCAGAAAAATGAGCTTGTGGTACGGTCATTAAATGAAGCTCCCTTGTTTGGCACAATGCCCCTTGCCTAGCAAGGCTTCCAGGCTCTCTCTTTTATTTTTATTTTAAATCAAGCATCAGACGGATGTTCAATATTTTGACATTTCTAAATATAAACATTGCTAGGTAATGAAGTTCAACTCGTTTCACACAGCAAGAGAATGGCTGGCATTGCTAAGTTAAGCTGTTTTCTAATGAACTGGGCCATTTCTTCCCCCATTATGACAATCCCATCATAAACAGACTCGGAGCCACAAAAAGTTGAAATGAAACAAAGAAAAACCAAGCTGCATTCTGCTAAGAAAACATAAAAGAATTTTTAAAAAAAATCTAAAGAAGGCAGGGAGTTAGGCAAAATTAAATATTTATCATTTCCTCAAATGTTTGGGTGTTTGCTCGTTACTTCTACATAAAAGTAAACATAAGCTACTTGGAGGAAAATATTCTGCCTTGTGTCTCATTCTCCGTATTGCATTTTGAGAGGCTAAGGTACTCTCTCTAGATCCCGATGTCAAGAGTGAAAGGAAAGCAGTTCTTGTGGAGAAACCCTACTCTTATGTTGGCACTTCCGCCCCCCCCCTCTTCTGAACATGTTCTTGGATGCCAATTTAGCACCATAAAATTAGACTTAAATTTAGACACGTCGTGAAAATAGACTAAAGGCAGCACGGAGTTCAAAAAAGGCACAGTTCTGTGTCAAGCCAATTAATGTTTTCAAGAATATTTCATTTTCTCTCTGATAATTATTTGTCTGCCAAACCTCACAAATTCCTCTCAACGCCCACATTTCTATACATGTAGATTTGAAATTAATACAAATCTAATGAAGGAATAATACGGGAAAACAACACCAACCAATCAATGGTTATTGGGGTTATTAGACCAGCATAAAATAATAACATTTTTTAAATCGTAAAGACATGTTCCACAGTGAAGTCGATTGAGGTGCAAAAATATGGCCAGGGAGAAACAGGTTGTACTGATAGTATTGAAATCCTACTGGCAGCACAACACATATGGGTAATTTGTATCTGAACATACTTGAGGTTGCATCAAACATTTCTACAAAGCATGATTTATTACATCAAGTGATGGTTTCTGTAGATCTTCCCAAAGTCTACTTTGCTATGAATTCTTTTATAGTCATAGCCCAGTGGTGGGATTCGGCCGGTTTGGACCGGTTTGTGCGAACTGGTAGCTCCAATGATCAATTGGTCCCACCCACCACCGCTCTATCCTGTACTTTATTTCCTGCTTTGTAGCTCACCTCAACCACATGGCGCAGCTGATTTCCCCCCGTCATTGTTCTACTTACCATTGCTGACTTGGAAGGTAAGCAGCTTCTAAATGCTCCATTTTCAGCGCAGCATGAAGCGCATGCTCACTGAACTGATTGTTAAACCGGCAGCATCCCATCACTTCATAACCTCAAAAATGGTCCAGAAGCTGCAACTGGTAGAGAAGGACCTGCCCACTCTAAGATGAGTGACATCTTAGGATTTCTTCAAATGATATCTAAATTATGCACAATGATCAGCTTGTAGAGATAGCATCTGATCTGAAGAAATGGGAAAACCTACAACTGTCATTGATAGGTAGAATTTCAACAATCAAGATGAATATTTTACCCAGAATTTTATATTTGTTTCAAACAATACCAATTAGGCTTGGCAAAGATTATTTTGAAGAATTAAATAAAATTGTGTTGAAGTATATATGGCAAGGTAAGAAAGCGAGAATAAAATTAAAACTTTTACAAGATGCTAGAACTAGAGGAGGATTTGGCCTTCCTAATTGGGAGTTGTACTACCAAGCTGCAAATTTAATGTGGGCCAAAGAATGGATAACATTAAGAAAGACTAGATTGTTGACATTAGAAGGACATGATCTATTACTGGGCTGGCATGCTTTTCTGTGGTATAAGGGAACGAAATCGCAGGGCTATTTTAGAAGGCATTATATACGGGAGTCTTTATGGTTGAACTGGGAGAAAATTAAGAGACAATGTTATTTGAAAATCCCAGTTTGGTTATCAACTATTGAAGCTTTTTCTTATCCTATAACATATAAGAAGGAACAAACAGTTAGATACGGGGAAATATTGGATAAAAACTGAAGCGTATTCTGTTAACTCGGGCATTTATAGGATAGTAGCTACTCTAGAGTCAGATTGTCTTTCGGACTTGGACAAATTGCTTTTCTTTTAAAAGGCTAAATCTTGCTTTGAAGTTTGGGTTCTTCTTTCTAAGGATGAGTTTTTTTATGGTTTATGGTTTGAAAACCTTTTGTAAACTTTTCTGAGCCAGGATTAGCAATATGGGAATAATGATAATCATTAGAGTACTTGCAGTCATCCCAGCAACAACTTCCAGAATAGCCTATGTAGTACAGAGAAGGATTTGCATGTGTAGATTTTATGCAACAAATTCATTTTAACAGCTTCGAGCCAACTCCAGACTTTCTCGGATAAACCAACAGACGGGCAACATATAATAAAGCATAATAATAATAATTCTACTGAACACAAAGAGGCATTTGCTCATGATAGCTAAAATGCTTACAAAAGGTAATATATTGGCTAAGTCCTAGAAATTCCACAGCAAGCAATTTTAAAACAGCCTATCCAAAACATTAAACTGGAACCAAGCGCTAAAAGGATTGGAAAAATAAATACATGTTTTAGAGAAAGCTTTAGCAGATAACTAATTCAAAAATTATATTGTTTGTAATGTGGAATGATTAGAAAAAGCCCCAAGACTTCAGATTACCCAGTGAGTTTTGAAAATCTTCCTTCTGACAATGGATTGAAAGAAGAGACTATAAATTAGAAACTCCCTTAAACTCCTTGACTAAGATTCCTTTTAAAAGAGCTTATCTATCAACCAAGTTGAAAACATTCAAATGCTGTATTCAGATTTAAAATATGGTGATATTAGTACATTGGAGCTTGATATGAAAAATATAGTAGTTATAATTTGCTATCATTATCAAAAAAGTAGATGGATAGTGCTATAATATCTGCATGTTGCAAGATTTAAGAATTGAGGAAGCCTTTTGCTAAAACCAATTTCACTTATGGTGAGGGTCAGAATATTTTAAGACATTAGTAAAGTGTGAGTCCCATTGTTCTGACCAAGGTTTATTGAGACACTAACAAACACACGTTAGTCCCCAAACCCTTTTTTATTTCCACGGCTGTGAATTTTAGTCATTCACAGCCCGTAATGAGTCTCAAACAGTTTGTAAACAGTCCCATGGAAGTCTGCCAAAGTCCTTCAAGATAAGTCTGATAAGCACACACCTTTATCTTCCTTGAAATGCTGCCAATGACTAAATTTCCAATTAGCTATACGAGGCCAAACAGAACACAAATTCAGTACAGAGCATTAGGTTTCAAACCAACCAGTATGAGCAAAGTTGCTTCCTGCAAAGGTTCCTGTCCCTTTGCTTCTCCTTTATGTATTATGGGAGGGCCAATCACCTCCCAGCCTTACTCCCAAGTTGCCCCTTTTGTCTCAGCTGCTCTTACATTCTGGCAGCTCTGTGCACACGCGCACTGGGAACAGGCTCCTCCTGTTCCTCTGCCTTGCTGCTGTTAGATTCTGGAGGCTCCGGAGTCAGCACACAACTCCCAGATGGTCCTGGCCCCGTCTCTGCATCAGACACAGGACTCTCGTCTGAGTCCTCCCCAGACTCCCAGACAGGACATGTTCCTCCCCAATGTCCAACTCTGCTGCCCACGGACCACAACAACCACTGGCCAATAAGAACTATTAAAATATTAATAGTTACAAAAGAAATTAGGATTAATTTTCTTCTTGCCTCTTCTTACAGGTACTCCTCGACATACAACCATGTCATCTGTTGTAACTTTGAACAGTCACTAAATGAGTTGTTTTAAATCAAGGGCTATCTATACAAGCCATAGAAGTATTTGTCCACAGTGTACAAAAGTTGAAATAAATAAAGTATTAGTGTGTATATTGGTCCACACACACACTATTAAAATCCAAGAGTGAGTAAATGAGCAGAAATCCTACTGAATAATTTTTTGCCAGTTCTTTCTCCAGCAAAGACCTCATCCTGCTCCAATCTCAAAGTTTTCCCAATCCTCAAAAGCAGGTTAAGAGGTAAGACAAAACAACACGGCAGAAAAATAAATAATAATAATAAAACCAAATGAAAATAAATCTGAGAAAATTATATTTGCTGGTTTCTGGATTTCACTTGCCAAATTGTTTATAAAGCAATATCAATGACATTTCCAATGCTTGGACAGTGAGAACTAACCTGTAAAATTAGCAATGACTTAGTGGATTAAAGGTGATCGAAACAAGGGGATAAACGCTACAAAGTCAACGCACAATGAACATTAATTTATCTACGAAGTAAATACAATAAGTGTATGTAACAAATAGATCCCCCCCCCCCACGGACACCACAAATTCTCACTGATGGTCGGCGATTCCTTAAATGAACATAACCAAAAGAACAAAGCAGTTGAGAAAGACAAGGCTAATTTTAGCCAGCTTAATAAAACATTAACATTTATTCTTGCCATCTAGCTTTATTTTCAGCTGAGGAAAAAAAGTGAGGCAAAAAAAATAAAGTTGAAACGTGAATTCCCACGAACGCCATTTTGAGTTGCTTACCTGATTACCCAGGGGCTTCACCACTTTCATGAAGGCTCCCCTCAAAATGGCCTCTTCGCGTTCCTTGCGGCTGACTTTTCGAGAATCCAGAAACTTCAGGCTGGTTAATTTATGCAGGACAAAATGCCTAATAAAACAAATACAGGTTCCAGAGGTTAGAAAATCCATTCAACTTAAAATGCTATTTTCCAGTTAATGCATTTAAGATGAGCGTATTTTAGGAAGGGTCTCTATTTCAATATCTTTCCTTCCTTCCCTTTTCCTTCTTTCTCTTTTTTCTTTATTTCCTTCTTTCCTTCCTTCATTTCTTTTTCTTCTTTCCTTTCTTCCTTCTTTCCTCACTCCCTCCATCTCTTTCTTCCCTTCCTTCCTCTCCTTTCTTTCTCCTTCCTTTTTCTTCCTTTCTTCCTTTTCTTTTCTTTCCTTCCCTTTTCTTTCTTTCTTCCTTTCTCTTCCTTCCTTCCTTTTTTCTTCCTTCCTTGTTTCCTTCCTCCCACTCTTTCCTTCCTTCCTCCTCCCTCCCTTTCTTTCCGTTCTGCTTTGATAAGCAGCTGTTCATGGAATAAGTAATCTTATTCTTTCTTGCCACATTTTTCACAATCTGTATATGATGTATAATATTTGAAACTTCCTATAGGCTGAGTCTTTGCAAGCATGCAACCAGTTTCCTGCCTGCACAAAAGTCTTCTCCTGCATGAATACTCCTGATCCATGCACCATTTTATGTGCAGAAACTCTTCAACAATGTGGATGATTGCATGGGAACGTGTTGCCATCAGGCAAACTTTGGTGTGTCACATGGATGTAATGGAAGACTAACAGACCTTGGAAACATAAAGGGGGCAGCAAAATAGTTGAGGGAGAACCCAGGGTGATTACAGAAGGCTTTCTTGAGTCCAACAGAAGGGGGAAGCATTAAAAAGAGTCTCCCATTATCAGAGGTCACTGAATAACAAAGTAGAATAATAGAAAAACAGAGTTGGAAGAAACCTTGAAGTTCTTCTGGTCCAAGATTCCTCAAGTAGGAGACCTTATATCATGTCAAACAAAGGGTTGTTCCATCTCTTCTTAAAAAACCTCCAGTGTTGGAGTACCCACAACTTCTGGAGGCAAGTTGTTCCACGGATTGTCCTCACTGTTAGGAAATCTCTCCTTAGTTCTAGGTTGCTTCTCTCCTTGATTAGTTTTCATCCACTGCTTCCTATCCTGCCTTCAGGTACTTTGCTTGATTCCCTCTCTTCTTTGTGGCTGCTATTATTTCCCCCTAGTCCTTCTTTTCATTAGACTAGACCAGTGATGAGTGCCCAAACCAGAATGTGCAAGCATGTACATGCATGTGCGCATGCTGGAGCACTGGAAACCCGAAGACCAGCTGGCCGATGCACACATGCCTGCTTTTTACTCTTTGGGGGTGTTTTTAGGCCATTTTGGGGTGTTTATGGCTGTTTCAGTTAGTTTTTCAGGCTGTTTTGGGGGGTCAAAACATCCTGAAAATGGTCCCCTGAAATGGCCTGAAAATTGTATGAAAATGCTTGAAAAACTGCCTGAAAAAGGCCTGAAAACAGCCCCAAAACGGCTTGTTTTTCTGCTGTTTTTTTGGCACTCTGGTGCCCACGAAGACCAGCAGGCCAGTGCACCAGAAACCAGAAGACCAGCTGATGATGGTGCACATGCCCATAGAGAGGGTTCGGTGTGCCATCTCTGGCAAATGTGCCATAGGTTCACCATCACAGAACTAGACACACACAATTCCTACAACCGTTCTTTGCATGTTTTAGCCTCCAGCTATCCAGGTAGTGATATTTTATTGTCCCTTGCAATTAAGTTTCAGATGTATTTGCTCTCCCTGTACAGAAAGTGATCATTCATGTTGATCTTCTCTGCACTCTTCTCAGAGTCTCATCTGACACAACTACAAGGACATCTTGTGACTGAATCCTAGAGTGTATTGGCTGTTGACCCTGAGCAGAGCCAGAGACCAATGTGGTTGCTTGTATGCACGACTGACATTTTTAATGTCCAGAAAGTCCACCGCTTAACAATCATTTGGTTAGCAACTGTTCAAAGTTACAACGGCACTGGGGAAAAAGTGACTTATGGCCTGTCTTCTCACTTAGATCTGTTGCAGACAACTAGCATATATTTCCTATGGCTGTAGCATCCTGGGGTCATGTTATCATCATTCACAACCTTCCCAACTGTCTTCCGAGAAACGAACTCAATGGGGGAAGCTGGATTTGTGTCGTGATGCACAACTGCAGTGAGTCAAATCACAATTGCAGTGGTCAATTAACAACCATGGCAAAAAGGTCGTAAAATCAGGTGACTTGCTTAAACCCACCTTGCTTAGGAAATTCTGATCCCAGTGATTTAAGTTGAGAACTATCTGTGTACCTTTTTCTCATTAAGTTAATTGCTCAGTAATAGCAATAGCACTTAGACTTATATACTGCTTTACAGTGCTAAGTGGTTTACAGTGTCAGCCTATGGTCCTCATTTTACCCACCTTAGAAGGATGGAAGGCTGAGTCAATAGCAATAGCACTTAGACTTATATACTTCACCGTGCTTTTACAGATCTCTCTAAGCAGTTTAAAGAGTCAGCCTATTGCCCCCAACAATCTGGGTCCTCATTTTACCCACCTCGGAAGGATGGAAGGCTGAGACAATAGCAATAGCACTTACTTATATATCGCTTTACAGTGCTTTAACAGCCCTCTCTAACTGGTTTACAGAGTCAGCCTCTTGCCCCCAACAATCTGGGTCCTCATTTTACCCACCTCGGAAGGATGGAAGGCTGAGTCAACCTTGAGCCTGATGAGATTCGATCTGCCAAATTGCAGTCAGCCGGCAGTCAGCAGAAGTAGCCTGCAGTACTGCACTCTAACCACTGCGCCACCAAGGCTCATCCTGTTAAAATGCTGTAAATGATTGTTATATTAAGGTGGCACTAAAATGAAATACAACTACATTATTCACAAACCTGTAGATTGACTGAATAAAGGCCATCTCAATTTCCTGAGTCCTATTCTGGATTTTAACCCAAAAGGGGAGAAAAAACTGCCAAGTATAATATCTCAAAAAGCCTTAGGGCTTTATAACAAGTATCCCAAAGACTCAATTTCATCAGCTTTGCATGAACAAATAACTTTGGAATTAGGGCTACGTCTATATTTTCTTCCAAGGATGCTGGGGGCACAGCAGTGAACCATTTGTGAGTGTAATCTTGTGTGCAGCAGAGATAAAAACTTGTGTGGGCTAACTTAGGCCGAGATACTTCATTATTCTTGGTTTGTGTTTAAATGACTGCACTCATTATTTTGGGGAGTTTTCTTTAAGCAGCAGGGTAATTGCCAGCATTTCATTATTCCTTCTTTTTCAATTAGTCTTCCCCCGCCCCCCAAAATTTTCTAAGCTTCTCCATTCCTTTGCCAGTCAATAACACTCTTGGGTATCAGTCCAAACATAAAATCACTTGAGCAGCTGAGGGATAAATCAATTTAAAAAATATATAGCCACAGCAACAAAACAACCAAATGTTAAACAACCCAAGGAATCTTGAGATTGGAGGGTGAACAGGAAGCAAAAAAAAACCCATTTATTACCCGATTCTCAAATTACCCCCCAAATTAATCTCAGCTAAGTTTCTTTGGGGACATCATATGCCAGATATTTATCCCCCTAACATCTCTTTGGAACATACAAAACATTTCAATTTCAGAATAATTTCCCAAAGCAGAACAAAACATGCTGGTCATATTGTGCGCTGTGGTTTTTGGTGGTCTGACTGGACCAGGAATTGTGGTTTGGCTTTCGTTTGTAACCTTCCTGATTTTTGTAGACTTTTTCCAGCCTACCAGACACATGCCTGTGGCTACTGCATGAGATTAACAGATTAACAGAGTTGGAAGGGACCTTATAGGCCATCTAGTCCAACCCCGGGCCCAAACAGGAGATCCTACACCCTTTCTGACAGATGGCAGTCCAGTCTCTTCTTGAAAGCTGCCAGTGAAGCTCCCACAACTTCCAAAGGCAACTTCTGTTCCATCTGTTGATTGTTCTCACTGTCAGAAAATCTCTCCTTATTTGCAGGTTGAATCTCTCCTTGATCAGTTTCCATCCATTATTCCTTGTCTAGCTTTCAGGTGCCTTGGAAAATAGCTTGACCCCCTCCTCTCTGTGATGGCCCCTCAAATATTGGAAGACTGCTCTCATGTCTCCCTTGGTCCTTCTTTTCATTAGACTAGCCATGCCCAGTTCCTGCAACCATTCATCCATCATATGTTTTAGCCTCCAATTATCTTGGTTGCTCTTCTCTGCCCTCTTTCTAGAGTCTTAACATCTTTTTTATAGTGGGGTGACCAAAACTGGATGTAGTATTTTAGGTGTGGTCTTACTAAGGCTTATTAAGGAGACCAACATGCAGCAGTGTTGAAAAGACAGTCACAGCTCATCATCAGAATGCTCACAAGTTCATGCTTGCCTAAAACATTTGCCTTATTTTCTCCAAAAAATAAAGCCATGGCAGAACCTTAAGAGACAAAAAAAAAAAAAAAAAATGAAGCTGAATAAGGGATCTTTAGTGTTCTCTGAGCTTTGTTGTTTCCTTGCAAGTGTTTTATTACCTGAACTAGACAACATTGCCACAGAGGCAAGTTTTATTGAATGAATAAGAGTGACATGATAGCAATGTTCCAATATTTGATGGAATGCTACAACGAAGATGATTAGGGGACTGGAGCAGTGGTGGGATTCAATTTTTTTTTTACTACTGGTTCTGTGGACATGGCTTGGTGGGCGTGGCAGGGGAAGGATACAGTAAATCTCCATTCAGAGGTGGCATTTGCTGGTTCTCTGAACTACTCAAAATTTCTGCTACCAGTTCTCCAGAACTGGTCAGAACCTGCTGAATAGCACCATTGAACTGGAGGCTAAAACAAATGAAGAACGGTTGCTGGAATTGGGTATGTCTAGTTTGATGAAAAGAAGGACTAGGGATGACACGATAGCAATGATGATCCAATATCTCAGGGGCTGCCACAAAGAAGAGGGAGTCAAGCTGTTCTCCAAAGCACCCGAAGGCAGGACAAGAAGCAACTGATGGAAGCCAGTCAAGGAGAGAAGCAAT